AAAAAAAAAAGCGGAGGCCAAAAATCCAGAAAGCTTCAACATCAAGAAAATCCAATGATTGAGAATGAACATTGTGTTGAAAGTCAAGCTAGCAACCCAACCAAGAGTACAACTCCCCTTGCTCACTAGTCCCATGACAGGCCTACCTGTATCACTCAAACTCATCAGCTGTTGTTGGTTAACTAACATTTATTGACAACCTCTGACAACATGCAAAAAAGAAGTACAACAAAATGTCCACAACCTAGGCTATAAAACAAGCCTATAATTGAAGACTGCTACTACTAATCATTCTGTGGTTTAAAAGCAAAAATAAAAATAGTGGTTCAACCCTCCTTTTGATGATATCCAGTTAAACATATCTGATCATCTTTTCTACTCTAGTCAATGTGCAGTGACAGGATAGGAAAATTGCATTCAAAAAGCCACATAAAATGATCTGCTGTAGCCTATTGCAATTGCTGTGCAATAGTAAAGAGACATTGTGACTTGACAGAAAAAAATGTTGCAAATAAAAAGAAACGTGTTTTGTCATTGGAACTCTGGAGGATTGCACAGGCCGTTTTAGATCAGCAGACAGAAGCTGAAAGACTGTTGACACATAGTTTCACTTATCATTGTCCACTTATCTAGTTCAGGGTCATGCGTGTGGGGCCTGGAGCCTGTCCCAGTTGCTATAATGGTAAGAGGCGTGTCACCAGCTTACTAAAACAAAGAACCAGTCTTTGCCCTGTGGGAGGAAGCCGGAGTAGCTGGTGAACCCATGAACTCGTGCAAATATGAAAATAACAAACAAACTCCCCATAGAAAGGCTGGACAGAGATATTTAAAAAAAAATAGAAACTAAATAATGAATCATCTGGTCACGTGGTGTACTCAAAATCCAAATTAAGTGATTTTTAACTGCCTGTGCCAGAAACTAATATTAAAAAAAGGTTTTTGTGCTTTTGTTTAATATTACTTTTGGCTTATTTAGTGCTTTTCTGTTATAATTTTGCTTTCAGTTGTATTGTGTTAAGTCTTGTATATGTCAGGGCTCTAGACTAACATTCTTCTTAGGTGCACCAGCACAAAAGTTAGGTGCACCCAAGTCTTTCTACCGCATCGCTTAACACTGCAGTTTTAAATGTTCACTTTTTTTTTTGAAAATTGCTATCCATGCAGACAATATTGATTTGTAAATAATTAACTAACAATCTTGTCAACACAAAGTTCTTTATTTGGAGCACAGTTCTACAAGAAAGATAAGTTACTGAAAAAGTGCTAGTGTTTAAAATTTAAACTTCAAACACCTCAAGATGTATTAAATAAAAAGAAAATCTAAATTAAAAGGGCCTTAAAGTGTCTCAAAGGCTTCAAACCGAACATCTCAATATCTGAACATCTGAACAGCTTGATATCTTATAGACTGTCCTCCATTGCAGTCCTTAGGTGGCCAACTTGAATGTGTCTGCGATGACACCTATAAACTGGGTGCACGCAACATCATTACTGTACGATGGGTTTACGTTAAAGCCATTTTCTTGTGAAGAATTT